TAGTTAGGTTTTCTAGATATATAGAGAAATTTATTTTAGTTAGATAGATATTCTTCAAATCTCTCAAAGACCTATATAATATAGCATTTAAAATGTTTTAAGAGCTTAAGACTTTTCATGCATGAGACACATCTGCTCCTGGCAGCACCAATCTACAACAAGAGGAAGATGAGTATCCAGGAGGCTCCTTATGGAGTTTGGTAGCCATTTGGGTAAGAAACTGGTCTTGTCTGGACTGCTTGAAGGTATATTGTATGAACTGGACATGCAGGACCCACAGAGAAATGCCTAAAGGTGAGATGGTCCTTCAGGGTTCCTGCTTCATAAAAGAGTCTGCAAGACATTCTACAGGACACAGAAGAAAGTGACTGACAAACTGCCAATACAGGCATAACTGCCTTTGAAATTTCCTGCTTCATGGAAAATCTGCTGGATACTATGGGCCTATAGACTGAAGATAGATGCTCCAACAATACAGAAGAACTTTGGGTGACTGTCCAGGTAGTAAGACATCTCTGTCAATTCTAGAGTTTTAGAAGTTGCTTACAATGTACTTTCTGTTTACTTAGGTAATATTATATCCTTCTAGAGTCTTTGATGGGGTTGAAGAATAGATAGCTATAGTTTTAAAGTTATGATAAAAGATAAAGTAGATATAAATATTGTAACTGTAATTCTTGCTTGATACCTGCTTTGTTATATGTAATTTTACTATGTTTAGGTTAAAAACCTTCCTTTTTATTTAAACAGAAAAGGGGAAATGGTATGGGAAGTTCTTCTGTATATGCGCTGCTTTTATTGGCTAATGAATACAGAAGCTGCTTCAGCCAGTGACTTAGCAGAATAGAGCTACATGGGAAAAACAAAACTGAATGCTGGGAGAAAGAAGGTGGAGTCAGTGAGACACCATGGAGTTGCCAGAGGAGAAAGATGGAGGCTGCCAGTTGAAACCTTGCCGGTAGGCCACGAACCTCCTGGTAAAATATACAATAATAGAAATGGGTTAATTTAAGAGATATGCATAGAAATATGCATAAGCTAATAGGCCAAGCTGGGATTTAATTAATACAATGCTTGTATGGTTATTTCAGGGCTGAGCAGCCGGGAACAAACAAGTGGCCTCCTACAACACACAGGAGTGAATGTAACTGTGCTAGCACAGAGGACTGAGGGTGCGGATTCATCAGTGAGTGTATCGAGGGGAGACTGCAGGTAAAGTACTTAGTGTGGTGCTTGTGAACATGCAGCACAGACTGATCGTATCTGCGTAGTTCTTAATTTGAGAGGATTAGATGAAGGTTTGAAAATGGAAGTCCTTTAAAACTGCTCCTGGCTCAAAGAGTCTAAGACGATAAAAAAGAAAGTCCTCATTAATCAGACCGTGTAGTCAATAGTAGAAGACGGGGCTGTGTTCCCCAGCCTTGGTTTAGTTTCTCCATTTAATCCAAATTGTACGGAAGGCATCTTGGGCAAGGTAATAGCGAGTGCCGAGATACTTGAGGCAAAATTCAGGGCAGCGAGGAACCATAAGCACCTGCTGATTTCACACAGAATCCCCACGGGGGTCAGAACCCTACAATCAAGAACTATGGACCAATTTCTGATCACCTTGCCCTTCTGCTCAAGAGATCTGGCACGGCCAGGCGGTGGTGGCACACACCTTTAATCCCAGCACTTGGGAGGCAGAGGCAGGCAGAACTCTGTAAGTTTGAGGCCAGCCTTGGTCTACAGAATAAGTTCCAAAACAGCAAGGGCTACATAGTGAAACTCTGTCTCAAAAAACAAACAAACAAACAAAACGATCTGGCACTAACATGTCCCCATAAGTGAAAACCAGTGTGGGTCTGTTAATCTTCTCTGTTAACTTGACTGGATTTAGAACCAACTGGGAGACACGGTTCTGAGCCTCTGTGTGAGGGAGTCTTCAGAAAGGAGACTAAGTTTAACTGAGGAGGGAAAATCCTCTCTGAAAGTGGACAGCACTATCTTGTGGGCTTCTGTTCTGGGTTGGATAAAAAAGAAAAAGTGGGTGAGCCCCAGCAGCCATCTCTCTCTGCTTCCTGACTGTGGATGCCACGTGACCAGCTGCCTCCCGTTGCTGATGTTGTGACTTCCCTACCACCATGGACTGCACCTCAAACTGTAAGCCAAACAGACCTGTCTTTCCTTGTGCTCCTCTCACCAGGCATTTTGTTGCAGCAATGAGGGAGTAACCAAAACAGCTTCCATATTCCCTTTGGCCCACTGCAGTGGAACCTTGGCGAGAAGAGGGTACAGACGGTTTACGATGCCTGCCTGTAGGTAGTTAAGTCTGAAGAAAGAGGTTTCTCACTGAGAAGAGACTCCTCTCAGGCCATGCTAGGTGCCCCTTCCCATTTTCTAGGACCCATTGTGGAAAAGCACAGAATTGTGCTGAAGCATGCTTGACCCTGGATAGAACTCCAGGATGGAGGGGTCACCTGGCTCTGGGGGACATGCTGGGCTTGACTGCTGTCAACTTAGGTGATGTTTGCACTCAGCAGCGGGAAATAAATCAGATGACTCCTTAAACTGGCACCCAGGGACACTTGGACACACGCGCATGCTCCCATGCACACAGGACCTGAGTTCTTTACCAAGCTTCAGAGGCTACCAGGAGTTGGGAACATAAGGATCCATCCCCGGTCCGGACGCATTATTAGATGACTGTTCCCAATGGCAGTGTGAGGTCACAGCACTTGGCCAGGTGGCTCCTGTTCTCTGGATCGCAAATGTTTGCCTCCTTGATAGCACGTGTTGATCCGAATGTAAAATATCCCCCTAGCTTCGTGTGTTTGAGTGCTCAGTCTCCAGCTAGTGCCATGGCTTTGAAAGGCTGTGGAACCTTTAGGAAGTAGAGCCTTTAGGAGGAAGTGAGTCACTGGAGGTGTGCCTTGAGATTTCATAAGCTGTCCCCATAAGGAACCAATAACTTTATTGGGTCTCTGCAGTGGTTCGAAGGAAAATGACCCCCAAAGGGAGTGGCGCTATTAGGTGGTGTGGCTTTGTTGGAGTAGGTTTGGCCTTCTCAGAAGAAGTCTACTTGCTACTTCCTGATAGCAAACTGAATATGACCAGCTGCCTCTTACTCCTGCCACCATGCCTCTCCTGCTATGACAGACTCTTATGTTTAAATCATGAGCCCAAATCTCCCCCCCTCTTGTCAGGTGTTTGGTCTCCATAGCGACAAGGAAATGTCACATCACCACTCAGACAGAAGGTTGGATGCTGGTGTTAACCTGTGGGGTGTTGCTCCTCCAACCAGTCATGGCTGTGGACAACTTGGTTTGAGTAATAACAAAGGAAGTCACAAATGAAGGGACTTCAAAAAGCATCGGCGGAGGCATTGGGAACAGGGGTTTAGCAAAGCAGTGAGGCCTCTGCTGTAGGCCTCAGATGCCATCTGCAGACGTCCTTAGGCTTGGACTTGGTGGAAGGTAAGGGTCTATTTTAAAACATGATTGAAGATGGCTTCCAAGAGTCTAAATGGGCTGGAGAGGTGGTGTAGCTGTTAGGAGTCTGCTCTGCTGTTGTGGAGGCCTGGAGTGTGGTTCCCAGTGTCCACTTTGAGTGGTTCACAACCTCCTGTAGCTCTAGCTCCGGGGGCTCCAGATCTCTGAACTCTGTGGCACTGCACCCGTGAATACAAACTCCCACAAAAAGCACATATAATTTAAAAATAAATTTTAAAAAGTTATATAAACAGAAACAAAAAATTAAACACAGCCCAAGAGAATCTGTCCCTGAATCTGCAATATTCCAACTCTCCACAGTCACAGATGCCCTGGTCCGTCAGTCAGCCGTGTGGAGTCTTCCAGCTCTCCAGTCACAGATGCCCTGGTCAGTCAGTCAGCCGTGTGGAGCCTTTAACAGAACTGCAGCTTTTTTTCCTCCAGGAATTCCACCAAGAGGTAATTACAATTATCATGCCCCTGCCTGTGGCAGTTATGACAGGACTTCTGAGAGACTGCAGGAGAAAGGGAGTTAGAAGAGGGAAGGAAAGGTGACGATTTGGGAGGGGGACACTTTTGTTCAGTTCTTTTGCCTGCAGTTCTGGGGGAAAACTCAGGCTGCTGTTCTCTGGAACTCAGGGCAGAGTAGATTCCAAAAGTCACTCTGAAGTCCTAATTTGGGGATTAACCATTGCCCACCAGTAATCCCAGCACTGGGGTCACCGCCCGCCTGTAACCCTGGCACTGGGGTCACCACCCGCCTGTAATCCTGGCACTGGGGTCACCGCCCGCCTGTAATCCCGACACCGGGGTCACTGCCCGCCTGTAATCCACCAGAGGCAGGTTGGGTTCCAGGCCAGTGAGAGACGCTGTCTCAAAAACAAGGTGCATGGCTACTGAGGAGGGATGCCTAAAGCCTCCTTCTGTGATGGTCTGAGTGAGAAATGTCCCCCACAGGATTTGAATAGTTGGTCCCCAGATGGTGGCACTGTTTGGGGGAGGGTTAGGACACGCAGCCTTGCTGAGGGAAGTGTGTCAGCTGATGGGGTCCTTGAGAGTGAGAGTCTCCTGCTGCACCTGGCTCCCTCTCTCCGCTTCATGCTTGCAGTTGAGGATGTGAGCTCTCAGCTTCCAGCTTTGGACACCAGGCCTGCATCCCTGTCTCCCCCACCATAATGGACTCTTTTCCCTCTGGAACTATAAGCCAGTATAACCCTTCCTTCTATAAGTCGCCTTAGTCATGGTTTTTATCACAGCAACAGAAAATTAACACAACCTTTGACCTACATACACTCTTAATTAAAAAAAAAAAAAAAAGGAAAGAAAGGAAAAAAAAAAAACACCCCATACAAGCTGTGGCCCACTGCAACTTCATGGCAGGCAGCCAAGGGAGCTGTTGTGTTGCGGTTGGCTTTCTGGTTAGGCTATCTGTGAAGGCTAGTCTCTCTCCCCTGTGTTTATAAAGGTCTTTCCTGGCAGAGGAAAACGACAGTCTAGTTCCTGAAATCTAATCTGGGGGCAGAGGCTGTCAGGCAGGCGGCAAGAGTCATGATAAAGCAGTGGTATATGCAACTCGTGTCTGGTCGATTGTGGTTGTGGAGGGTGACCTGGTGCCGAGGGCAGAGGGCTCTCCAGGGTGTGGAGACCACGTGCGTGCTTCTTTGGTGATGCGGTGGACTCCTAGCTAATGAATTCAGAGGTGCGGATGAGGGCTTAGCGGAGCCTGCTTCTACGTGGGTAGCTCCTAGAGAACCTTTCATTTATTGGAATCGTCTTAGATCTGCCCTCTGTGATCAAATTAATGAGGAGAAGCACACACACAAAGCCCCTTGGTGCGGGATAAAAAAAGACATCAGGCTCCAAAGAAAGGTGAGAACAGAGAGTGCCTGAAGGGCTCCTGGACCTTGCTGCCTGGCAGAAGCTTCACAGATTCGGCTTCTTCTCTTCTCTGGCTCGGGAGATTCCAGAGGAGTGAGGGAAGGCTGCCTTTTCACGGAGCCCCACTAATGTGGCGGTAGGTACTGTGTAAAGTCCTCCCCAGCTTTCCTGCACACCCCAGTTCCTCCAGTCAGTCAAATATTTTTATTCCTGGCTTAGTTTTAGGAGGGGAAATGAGCTTGGCAGGAAACTAGGGGATGAGGGAGGGCTTGGTTGGGTTGGGGGCCGTGTCTGTGCTCTGGAGGTGAGAGCAGAGGATGAGGCACAGAAGTGATTCCCACGACATGGTGTCTGGGGCTGGGGCTCAGCGGCAGACAGCCTGCCTCGCATCCATAAAGTCCTGAGTTCAACCCTCAGCTCTGGAAAAAACAAACAACAGAAAATAAACAAACACAAAGGGATAGGTTGTCTTCATAACAACAACAAATCACCCAGCCTCAGTAGTACCTACAGCCCTACTACTTAGGAGGCCGAGGCTCCTTGTCTGTCTTTCTCCTCCTGAGGCTCCAGGAGAGGATGAACTGGAAATAGAGTTGCAGAGACCAAGACCTGGGTTCAAAGCCCGCCTCTATCTCTACCTAGCTCTGTGAGTTTACCTCCCAGAATCTCAACGTTCTCCCCTACAAAATGGGAATGAGCCCCTTGTCCTCGTTAAGCTTGCCTTGGAGTTAACAGTGCTAACAGCCTTCTGAGTCTTGACTTCTCTATATGAACCAGGGCTTAAACGTTTCCCACTTATGACCCTTTATGCCCAAGACATTTTTTACGTGATCAAAAGAGTGCAGGTGTACAGAACAGGCACACAAGAGGACAATCACTCACAATAATGAAATGTGCAGAAACCTATTTGATTCTTTTACATTAAAAATTTATTGTGCTTTGTGTGTGTATGTGTGTGTGTATGTGTGTGTGTGTGTGTGTGTGTGTGTGTGTGTACACATGCATGGCACAGCATGTAGGGTCCTGGGGATTGAACTCAGGTCATCAAGCTTGACATCAAACCCTTTTGATATTGATCAGCCTAAGAAATTTATTTTAAAGCAATTCTTTGGTGTGTGTGTGTGTGTGTGTGTGTGTGTGTGTGTGTGTATTTTTTTTTCAGAATTTTTTACAGAAAGAATTCATTTGCATACTGATGAGACGTGTGTGCTGGCTTGTGTTTACATATATAATTCATGTTGGGTTGAATGTTTGATGCTGCAGGAACGTCTTCAGTGGTCTTCAGAGCTGGCAGGTGTTTTAATTTGTAATCACCAGGGCCGAGAAGGGCTGATTCACATGACTCCATGGTATATACAAATGACAGAAGTGTGTTTGGAGCCATTTCAGAAATTGTCGGGAATCCTGTTTAATCCCAAGCCAGCATTCACTTAATGATCTTTTAATGAAACTCAAGTCACAACCCAAACAGCAATTTTAAAATCAAATATTCTAATACAATACATTCCAAACATAGTGATTTGATACATGCTGAGGAATGATAGAAAATGCTAAGTCTTTGTTTTTCATGATTAGATCATTATCTTTCTACCAGAACTGAAAACTTTGCATGAATAGTAAGACATTACAATTTGAAACATATCACAGCCTTGGATCTGGGCTGAGGTTAGTGAGGCAACATTCTTTTCTTCTCTTTTTTAAAAAGATGTATTTGCTTATTTTGTGGGCATTGGTGTTTTGCCTGCATGTATGTATATCTGTGTGAGAGTGTCGGATTCCCTGGAACAGACAGGTATGAACTGTCGTGTGGTTGCTGGGAACTGAACCCAGGTCCTCTGAAAGAGCAGAGAGTGCTCTTAACTGTTGAGTTGGGTCACCTCTCCAGCACCTTCAAGATAGCATTCTTTTTGTTTGTTGTTTTTCGAGACAGGGTTTCTCTGTGCAGCTTTGGAGCTTGTCCTGAAACTCGATCTGTAGACCAGGCTGGCCTTGAACTCAGAGAGATCCGAGTGCCTCGGTCTCCTGAGTGCTGGGATTAAAGGGATGCATATGATATGGACTACCTGGGTTGTATATTCAGCACCAAGGCTGCGATGAAGTCACGGGATATAACACAGAACCCAGGCACTGCCAGAAACGTGAATTCATTGTGTGCGTGTTAACCTTTATTTTTATATTATGTCAAGGTGTTTTGCCTGACATATTTAGTTTTGAGTTAATTTTTGGTTATTTTATATTCAGAAATTTTTATGCTAAAATTTTCACAACCCTCACCTTCAGTTACATGACTCCATGGAGACGTGACCCACTATTTAAGCAGCTGTGAGCAACATGAGAAGGAATAATAAGATAAAGAGATGGCACAGTGGTTAAGAGCAGTGACTGCTCTTCCAGAGGACCCGAGTTCAATTCCCAGCACCCACATGGCGGTTCATAGCTTTCTGTAACTCCAGTTCCAGAAGATCTGACAGCCTCACACAGACATACATACAAGGCAAAACACCAATGCACATAAAATAAAAATAGGTAAATTTTTTAAAAAAAAGATAAATGAACTAAATTGTGATGATTACTGTTTCTCAGGAGTGATGTGGAAGCTTAAAGAGCTAAACTGTGATTGGCAGCCTGGTTGCAGCACCTGCTGGGTCCTAGGTGTTAGGATTCAGGCATTATGCTGGCCTGTCACCTGGCAGGATACACTCAGGCAGTACCCTGGCCAGCCCAGGGTCCTATATAGGGCTGCTATGTCACTATGTAGTCTGCACGCTGATGTGAAAGGTTCCTTTAAGAGATAAGCTCCGCCCATTCTTGCACTCTTCCTGCTGTTCTTTTGAAGATACTAGCCGGTGTTTTCCCCTCTCATCCATCCCTCCCTCTCTCCCACCTTCCCTCCCTCCCTCCCTCTCTCTTTCTCTCTCCTTTCCTCTCCTCCCCTTTCCTCTTCTTCTTCCTCCAATAAATTCTCCTAAATTCTCCAATTAAGCTCTCTGCGTGGCTTATTGGTCTTTCATCAGCCTTGATTGAGGTTTCTGGGCTCTCACCCGCCAAGGTCACTCTCTGCCAAATCATTATCTTGGTACCAAGACCCTGCCAGGCTCTCCCCATGGTCCCTCCTACCTGCAGGCGGGTAGCCTGAGGCATGTGGGGACTCAACGACCCAGACCAACAGCCCACTTTCCAACTATTCGTACACTGGGATACTCCATGCAACATCAGCTGTGACTGATGAGCTCCCCTCCTCCCAGTCGGCTTTTGCCCAGCGCCCTGGGCCCCACCTCCACTGAGCAGCTCCTTCGTTTCTTGGATCTAAGGGTCCTTCAGGCTCAGCCCTTCAGCCTTCGTGCCTTCCCTCTTGGACTCTGTTTCCTTGGGGCCCAGCGCCCAGACCTGCCTTCACTGAGCATCCTTTGGGCTCAACCCTTCGGCTTCTGTGCCTTCCGGTCTTTCAGACTCACGCCCTTTGAGATCCGTGCTCTCCGCCTGCATTCTTTCAGTTGACAACCATACATAAAACAACTTGTGCCACAGTATTGACCTGTCTATGAAAGACCCGGATAAATTCAGACCCCTCTAGCAGAAAGAATAGAGCCAAAAAAATCTAGCAGGGAGAGAAGAACCAAAAATCTAGCTTAACTGGTTCAGTGTTTCTGTTCCAGGAACTAGCTGACTATAAAGTTAGATTATAATCTTAAGAATAATCTTGAGAAACAGGGAGTTACCCCCTTGTAATTATCACTAGTATTTTCAGAATTTTCCAATGATCACTGGTATTTTTGAAATTTTCCAATGATGCCCTCCCTACCCCCTTTGGGTTATTGGGTTATGGTTTCTTCCCTTAAATACCCCTTCTCCCAGCTACTTGGGGTCAAATTCTCTACTCTTGTGTGGAAAATGAGTTTCGGCCCCAGTGCACTGGTTCCTGTCCTGTCAATAAACCTCGTGTGATTGCAGCAAGGACAGTCTCTCGTGAGTCCCTGTGGGGGGGGGTGTCGTGTTATCCCGAGATTTGAGTGAGAGTCTCCCCACTCTGGGGGTCTTTCATCTGCCTCACACATGGGAAACAAGCCACCCAAAAAGTCTAAGCCCACCCACTCCTCAGGAATGCCTTCTCCTCACTCATCTCTGTACTAATATCCTCTAGATAACAATTCAGATTGACTGCCTGACAGCTCTTTAGATCCCAAGATTTTACAGGACCTTTCTAACTTCTGCCAGTGGATGGGTAAATGGAAGGAGTTACAACATGTGGGTAGGCACCGTCTTCACTAAAGGCAGGTCAGATGACCTAACTTGTCATCTTTACTAAGAGCAGCCACATGACCACTGCCATTTTGTTTAAGGTTAAAAGAGATACTTCACCGTCCTCTTGACTAAGGGCAAGATAGATAGGTCAAATGACTTGTCGCTATCTTTACTAAGGATGCTCTTTGCCTCGTCTCTTGCCTTTCACTTATGTTTTTGTCTCTTAATTCCCTGTTACCCTGACTCTTGTGTGGCATGTTTGTGCGGTGGCACGCTTTTTGGCAGGGTCTGCCCGAGTACCCACTTCACACAGGGACCCCACCCACATGCTCTACATGTAGCAGATCTGCTTTATGACTTTTGATTTAATACATGTGTGTATACATGCATGTGATTTGGGTCTAACTTTGTAAGTGTAAATATAAGCTAACTTTAATTCTGTGTGTGCATGCATGTGTGCGTGTAAGTGTGTGCGCGCACGTGTGTGTAGCTGTTATCTAAGAAAAAATACTTTAAACAGTCCTAACGAGCTCTGTTCATTGTATCTCCTTCTAGACTAAGAAAACAAGTCGCAAGTACTTTAAATTAGCATGTACTTTTTAATGTACTTATAGATGATGATAAAATATATGGTTAGCTCTGTTATAACATACTTCATTTAACTCTGTGATTTAACTCTGCTTTAACATATATTCTATATAGTGATAAAAATTTAAGGTTGTAAAGATCTATTTCAGATTAGCAAAAGCTAACTTAGAGATTTACGCCACCCAGTCCTTCTTGTAAGTTGTTTACAAGAGTGACCTAAAAAGCAAAATTAAATTAAATCAGGTGTAAACTAAACTTAGATTATTCCTTCCCATACTCTGTGGCCTTCACTACTGTCAAGTTTTAATGGTAAACTTCTATTGCAAAAGGGAATTTTTCTTTACTTTTTTGTCCTTTGCAAGCACAAATCTGACCTGCTAAGTTAAAACCGGTTACAGTGAAGCTGGAGGACTCTGGGTAAAACATTCCCCCACAGCGTCTCAGCTTGGATCCAGCTCTCCAGGCAGATCCTGTGCTATTGTCATTGTAGTCATAACTCAGATATAATCGATAGACGGTCCTCAAATGCTCAGAGAGCTAGAGAATATGGCGTTTAAAATCTTTAATTGGAAAGGCTTTTTGTAATAGAAAGATAGGTCAGCACCTGGTACCACCTCTGTTTCCACCAAAGAAGATGGAAGGGAACCGAAGAACCTTCACCTGGAGCTTACTTCACAAGTGAAACACTAGCCACCGAGCAAAACTACTTTTCACCTCAACTGCTGCAAAGGCCCTCTTCAGACCATGGACCACGGGGCACTGGAATCGACTGCCTCATACTGCTTAAGCAACAGGTAGGCCGGTCTTCCTGCAAGCTCCTAATCCATAGGATCTTGTGAAGCCTGACAGGCCTCGCCCTAGCCCTTACAGAAGACTAATATTGCTCTTAGTGACCATGGAGGACTCCGGGGAGTGACTGACCAGGCAGCCATCAAGTAAGTCTCTGTTTTTGTTTGGTTTGGGACAGCATTTCTTTGTAGTTTTAGAGCCTGTCCTGGAATTTGCTCTTGTAGACCAGGCTGACCTCAAACTCACAGGGATTCACCTACCTCTGCCTCCTGAAGGCTAGGATTAAAGGCATGCCTCCCCACTACCCAGCAAGTCTCTGTCATTTTGAATCATTAGCTCCGGTAAAATTCACCCTTCTCAAGGTCTCTGATGCAGTTTGACGACTGATAGCTTTGCGTAACAGCAGCAACCAAGGCTTCAACTGCATTCACGTTCTCATTTCTTCTTGTAAGATTCAGCTCGCAGGCCTACCAAGGCTAGACACGATTTACCTCATTACCAGACTCAGAAAAGAGATAGACCCACAGAACAGATTTCAGTGTAACTCCTTACCATTCCTTTGTGTAAATAAAAGGTGATTTAAGATGCAGAGCTGAAGCTGTGAGGATCTGAGGATGTTTCGGGGTCTAAGAAGGTGTGTTAAGATGTGCAAATGCAGTGATAAAGGCCTGAGGAAAAGGCTTAAGTGCTGATAATTTTCACATTAATCAATAAAACCCTAATTAGCTATTAATCCAGCTCTGACAGAGTGCTGAACACCATACTATACCACAGTCATCATAGCCACAAACTCAAGATTTTAAATCCCATGTGGTTGTTTTCTAACTTTGAACCTCAAAGATACTTTTCATTGTGCAAAAGACATCTGTCACAGTCATTTCTGGCATGAATACTGCTGTCTCTACAATGCAAATTTCAATACATACCATAAACAGTGGAAATGTTAATGTGTCTAAAACACATCTTTTTGCAAACTCAAAGAATTCTTGTAAGTACCAGGAAGTCGACTTGGATTCACCTCAAACAAGTCAGATGTATTCCTCCCCTTCCCCACTCCCTGATTACCAGGACCTAAACAGCCTAAGCCTTTCCCTGGCTTAACACCTTTCCCTGGTCTTGACAAAAACACTGCTTCTAAGACTGGGGTTCTCCAAGGACCAAGGAGAAGATTTGGGATTGCCTGCGTAGCTAAAATACTGTCTCATTTTTGCTCATTTATCCCTCCCAGATCTGTCTAATGGTGTTTGACAATTTAAGATACTGTGAATTTATTATTTCATCCATGACATTTAATTAAGTTTCCTGTTAAAATACAGACAGGTGTGCCTCTTTCACAGGCTTCATAGTCCAGGATTAGCAGGTTTCAGGTGTACCTGCAGAGGTTCAGCTATGTAAATCTGTTCCAGTTCTCTTACAGGTTCCTGGAATGTTCTACTGCTCGATCAAAAATCAGGACTGGTAAAAACCTAACAGTCTCCAGAGACTTTTGCTAACCCCAGCCAGTTTGAAGCATATTTTATAGGTCACTCCTGATGCCTGGGCCAAAACCAACCTACAAAGTGCTCCCCAGACAATGCCAAAGACCTGCACCAGCTCCTGGGACTTCACCATTGGTACCAACTCTTCTGGATCAAGGACACCTGCCGACTAAAATCTGGTTTTATTTGGTATTGTATCCCATCCCATTGATAGCCCCATTTCATAGGGCCAATAATAACAATATTTTTTTTCTCCTAGCCACCTGCCTTCTCATCTCCCTCAAAAAGCAGCTGCCTAAGGACTCCAGGATGACAGCAAACCGGATGCAGCTCCAGCCACACCTCTCTCTGAGTGTGAGTGCACCAACTCCCAGCATTCCTCCCCCACGTTGCCTCATGCCCGCAGAAAATAGCCAGACTTGAGCTGATGCACCTATATCCAAGGACTCTGGGATGTTTGATTAAAAGTGAGACCCCAGCTCTCTAACACCCCTACATCCAAAGACTCTGGAATGTAATATTAAGTTGGGAGCGTCACCCCAGCCCCTGGGCATAGTTGTCGCTGGATGAGCAAACAGAGTCTACTGACGAGAGAGGAACTCCCAGGGCCCCAGTAGAATAACTGTGAACAAGGAAATGTCAAGGAACTTATTTTTCTCCTGGCAAATGTCCTGGACCAACCTGGTCCTGTTTGATTTAAAGGCAGGAAGTGCAGATGACATACATCCCATGAGAACTCGGAATCCTCTCACTGTCTCGGCTGAAGGCCAGGAGGGGAGGCGTGGGTGGGGGCTGCTGGCTTGGCCTTCCCCACGGTGTTAGAAAGGGCAGCTCGAGCAAGTCTAAATGAAAATCTGGCGAATTCCAGTCCTGGAGAAACAAACCAGATGCCACTGAATGCTAGAAATGATTTAATACAAACTCCCTTACTCAAGAGAGGGAACCTGAGCTCAGTGAAAAAGACCAATAGCTCCACATCTGGGAGGAAAGTAAAGGCATGAAACTCCGAGGTACATATGCATGGGAGGGGCTGGAGGTGGGGGGGAGAGAATGCAGGGGTGGGGGGAGTCAAGGGTCCCTACCTCTGCATTTCTGCTATACTTTTGTTTGCTTTGTGCCACACTTACACACCAGATGGTCTGTTATTATCCTGGTTTCCTTAATACTTGCATCAATTCCATCTTTTATTCCTAAATAAATTAATTTTGAAAGGCAACTGCCGTAAAGGGAAAGCAGGGATCGTTCGCCTCCGTCGCAGGCAACTACAGAACCAATGCTATGAAAGGCAGTCAGCGGTGGGCAAAACACTTGTGGGGGCTGAGGGTGTCTCAGGTGGTCGAGAGCCTGCCTGGTGTGCACGGAGGCCTGGGCTCGCTGCCTCGCTGTGTAACACGGGTGCGGTGGAACACACCTGAATGCCTGAACTCAGTAGGTGGAGGCAGGAGGAATAGTGGTTTGAGGCTGTGCTCGACTATATGAGACCCTGTCTTAAAGGAAACGAACAAACAAACAAAAATCCGAGATGCTCCCCACCACATGAAGAGAGCACACTCTCACTGCTAAGAGAGTTGTCTTGTTGAACAGAACTTGGGAACAGCTTTCAAAGGACTCGTCAAGCTGATCAGGAAAAAAAAAACAAAAACAAACAAACAAACAAAAAAAAAACTCCATGTGAAAATTCCTAGAAGTTTAATCTGAGGCTCAGGAATCTTCCCTGTGCCAGTTGGCAGTGCTGGACCTCAAATGATAGTACGTGTTGTAGGACCCAACCATAATAAGCTTAATATGTACAGATCACCCAAAGGAAGTTCTTAACTTCCAACCATCATCACCTGCCAGGACAGGACCCAGCCATGAGAAGCTTAATGGAGGCCTGAGTCTCAGTAGTTTACCCTAAAGCAATACCTGGTTGCAGGAAGGGCCACAAACTGAGCTTACCCAGGCACCACCCAGGAACAGACCATCCAAAGAAAATTCCTAACGTTCCAACCGTTGTTGATAGGATTACCTGCTAGCACACTTTAACCAGGACACCCTTAGATAAATATCAGCCAATCAGGGGTTCTGAACCTTAGAAATCTCTCACCCCACTTTTACTACTATAAAAAGTTAACTCTAACTGAGCTCAGAAGTTCTCTAATACGTCCAATACATTGGACACATGGAGAGTCTGAGTTTGCAAACTTGTATAGAATAAAGGCTCTGTGGTTTTATACATGGGACTCGATCTCCTTGTTGGTTTTAGGGGAACTTCGTGGATCTGGGCATAACATGTGTCATGGAAGTTGTCACAATCACTAAATAAGGTGCACGTCCAGAAGCCCTTTGAGCAGCAGATAGCATAGAAGGCACTTAGCAGAAGCAGGTATTGTAATTATCATTGTTAAAACATAGTGAGCCAGCCAAGGTGGTACAGGACTGTATAATCCCTGCACTCAGGAGGCAGAGGCAGGAGGATGTCTACAAGTTCCGAGTTCCAAGTTAGGCCAGGGATGCATAGCAAGGTTCTGCCAGAATAACTCACTGACAAACACATAAAACAGGCTGGGAGATGGCTCAGTGGTTAAGAGTACTTGCTTCTCTTGTGGAGGACATGGGTTTGATTTTTAGCAACCAAGTTGGGTAGCTCAAAGCTGCCTATAACTACAACTGCAGAGAATTTGATGCCCTCTTCTGGTCCCTGAAGGCATCTATACTTGCCATATGCATACACAAAGACACACACACACACACACACACATCATTTTGTTGTTGTTGTTGTTTTTGTTTTTCCGAGACAGGGTTTCTCTATGTAACAGCCGTGGCTGCCCTGGAACTTGCTCTCTAGATCAGGCTGGCCCTGAATTCAGAGATCCACCTGCCTTTGTCTCCAGAGTACTAAGATTAAAAACGTGGGTCACCACTGCCCAGGATATAGACATAATTTTAAACAATGAATAAATACATTAATAAACTAAATAAACAAAAAATTCCATCTCTACCACATTACCAAAAATAAGAAATAATCCAGGTCTGGTGGCATATAGCGAGTGGATGTGGTTAAGCTCCAGCGAAGCTCGGCTCACACAAACAGCTGCCAGTTTGGCTTTGATTGGCAGGCTGTAGTTTGTGCTAGAAAGCCATAGGTTGAGGGAAACAAAGCAAGCTGAAGGCTGGCAGATGCTATGAATAAAGTCCCCGTCCACGTGATTGACAGGAACGGACCTTCTCCTACAACCCAAACCCCAACCTTCTGAATTCAGTTCCGCGCACCTGAAATGCAGACTTTAACCTTAAAGCTGCAGTTTTGTTAGCTGCTGCCGTCTTAACGGGCCCCATCAGTGCCTGTGGGAACAGCTTCTGATGAAGGGAAGTTAGAAGATGGGTTGAGGGCTGGGGGCCCGGCTTGGTGGGGGGAGTGCTTGCTGTGCAACTTAGGGACCTGAGTTTGATCTCCAGTTTCCAACCAGAAAGCCCACCTGGTGGTGCAAGTTTGTAATCACAGCGCTGTGGAGAGGAAGACCGTGGGATCGCTGAGGCTTGTTGGTCAGCCAGTCTAACCCAGACAGTGAGCCCCAGGTCCCGGTGAAAGACCTGTCTCAAAACAAGTAGACAGCTCCTGGGGACCAATACCCTACATTACCCTTTGGCTTGTACACGGACACACAGACACGTGCACCTGCACACATGCCCATCTCTCACACGCAAAGATACGTTGAGAAGACAACTTGAGTTTTTATTTTCTCTCTGCACAGGAAGAAATGGCAGCTTAACAGAATGGCGTGAGTTGTTCAGTGTTAGGCAACCAGCAGCCTGACATCAGCCCTAGGAACAAAAGGCCCAGGGCCAGCTGTGTGCCTTCAGCAGCTTCCCTTTCCAGTTTCTAATTTCCATGATAAAGAAGGAAAGCGCCTGAGAGGGCCTCCGAGTGGAAAATGATGCTGACGGCTCAGGACGCGGTGCCAGCTCAAGAGGGAGAAGGACGGAGTCCTCAGAAGCCATAAAACGGAATGGGACGGGTAAAGAGCCACCTGCTCCTGTCATTGCGGCACATCCTCAGTGAGGGCCTGGCCTGTCTCTTTCTTCTCTGTACCTCCGTGTCCCCAAACGGAATCTGGCAAAGCAGCTGTTGGGCTCCTGCGCATGCCTCTTCAATGCCTGTATCTTATTTGCTCCTCACAATGGGGTTGAAGTATTCTACCCACTGTAGGGATGAGCAAGGGGAAGCATAGAAAGGTCATTTCAATCCCTGAAGTGATGGAGATAGTCGGGAGTGCAGCTGCGATTTGAATGAGAGTCCGAGGCTTTTCCAATAGGAAGACAACTCTCCAATGGTCCTTGTTCACGCCTTGGTGAGCTCTGAAATGTGAATGCCCTGTGGTCTGCAGAGCTCTTGACTTGAGTTCCTTCATGGCTCGTCTTGACTTCAAGGAGGCAAAGAATTGTGACACGGAGAAGAACTTGGTGTGGGCACACTGATGGAGAAGCAGAGGTCAGCCGTGGGTGTTATTCCTCGAGAGCTGGACATTCTTTTTGTTGTTGTTGTTTGGGTTCCACACCCCCACCCTCATTCAGAAGATCGAACCCAGTCAATTGAATGCCAGTCGAGTACTGTACCATTGAGCTATGTCCCCCATTTGCAAGCTCTCTCACTCTCCTGGACCTTGCCTATTTGGCTAGGCTGGCTGCTTCCCCCTCCCCAGCACTGGGACTATAGTGCTTGCTAACTCTGGTATTTTTCCGAGGGTTGGGGGATCTGCTGTAAGATTATTCCCCTCTCTGAAGAGATGGAAACAACACCTACCCCTTCCTCATAATGTCTTCATAACAGACCAAAGTTTGATTCCACCAAAATTCACCCAGAGGAACCAATAAGTTTGTTGGGCTTCTGTGGTGTTTCGAAGGGAAATGGCCCCCAAAGGGTGTGGCACTGTTAGGCGGTGTGGCTATGCTGGAGTAGGTGTGACCTTGTTAGAGGAAGAGTGTCACTGTGGGAGCGGGCTTTAGTTCTCCTATGCTCAAGTTACTCCTGGTGTCACAATTGATTTCCTGTTGCCTTCTGATCAAGATATAGCCAGCACCATGTCTACTTGTGTTGTGCCATGTTCTCTGTGATGATAATGGACTGAACCTCCAAAACTATAAGCAAGCTACCCCAATTAAATGTTTTTTTTTTTTGTAAGAGTTGCCATGGTCATGGTGTCTCTTCACAGCAATCGAACCTCTAAGACAGCTTCCTTACAGAGGATGGATGAGGAATCGCCGACTGAAGCATGGGTGGCCCCAAAGCCACAGTGCTGCAAAATCCTTGCCTTTAAGGTATGAGGACCTCCTCATGGCCGCAAAGAAGGAGTTCCCTAGTTAAATGTCCCAACCTACATATTCTAGCTCCTCCGAGACACCCTGTCCCAGGCTATGTGCGAATACAGCAAAGTTGCACACAAATGGCTAGGAGGGGTATCTGAGTACTCCACTGAGGGTCCAGGTCTTTTCCTTCCATAGGGAATATCTAGTCCGCAGGACTGATAGCAATGGGGTCTTGCAAGGAGACCAGTGATCTCATGAAGATGGTGGTAGTTCTGCTTGGAGAACTGTCCTACAAGCTGGAAAGCATCTGATCCTCACGCCTGCCACTGTGAGTACTTCACGGACTGTGCCTTCTCCCCAACTCTGAAGAGCTCTAACAGGCTGGCACAGGCACCGTTTCCCATCATGATAAATGCTCGGTGGCAGCAAGGCACCAGGCATTCGGTGCTTGAGGGTTTTCAGCAGGGGTCAATCTAATCACTGGGGCAGGCGGGGGCAGGGAGGAACGATGAAGGACAGGCAGCCTGGGTCCCTCCTCCCCTTAGACTGCAGGCACTAGATGGGAAGGGAGATGGATTATAGAGTGCGCTGAGGAAATGGAGATAAATGACTTTAGATTCAACACGATAAGAAGAAAAGGATTCCTTAGAGCCAGAAGAGACCAAAAGCTGTATCAGGAAATGGCTTCAAATTGCAGGACTTAGAGTTCAGGGCTAGAATCGCAGGTGGGTAACGTTGGCTGTCTTCCTTGTACATTTGGAGCACGCCAGAGGATTCTGTGTTTCGGAATTCCCAGAATTCAACATCAAGGTCTTTCCTTTCTGAGTAAAGTCCACTCCTCTAAGAAAGCGGTTTAAAAAATAACCCTGAAAAACCTGAGTTCCATCTCCAAGAGAATTGGTTCCAAAAAATTGCCCTCTGCCTAGTGTGCATAAGACCGTGTATGTGAATGCAAGGAACTGTGGGGTCAGTCCAGTCCGCATCAGCCGCAGATACAAAGGGTGCTGGGAAGAGGAGTCTCCATACAAAAATGACAGAGAGAATCTTTAGGACGTGCTTTTCTGTCTCCCCCCACCCCCGAAAGAAGGTACCACAGTGTGGGGCCTGCTTGAGGGTTACCCAGTAGTTAAAGAGTCCTGGTAGGGCAAAGTACCCCTACTTGACTGAGTCATGCTTCAAGTCAACCATGTTGGAAGGAATGGCAAGGTCATCTGAGCCAGAGTGGCAACAGGCAGAGCTGAGGGTCAGGATACGGGGGTGCTGAGGCTGGCTTGGCCCTTGGGAATCCATAACATCTGTGATACAATCTTCCAACCAAAAAGCTTTACTGAAATTAGATGCTCACGAAGACATTCTGCAGCCGGCAAATCAAAAGCCATTCTACACGGTGTCACTGAGTGAGTCTTGCTGTGCCCAAGTGGGTAGCTTAGAGCTAAGAGGCTCTTGATTGGAGAGTGGGTGTCCCCAGCCACGATCTCTCTCTCTCTCTCTGTCTCTCTCTCTCTGTCTCCACATTCGCCTTTCCCTTCACTTTAATTCTCTTGATGATCAAGGCAGTTTTTAGCCTTTACTAACCCTCTCTCTCTCTCTTAAATCTGGGGGTGGGAGGAGAAAAGGTGAGCTAGCAAGAAGGGATGGTGGCCGGACAATGGCTGGACAATGACTCTCTTAGGTTCTTGGGTCCTTCCTCTCAGGCCGTGGGGAGTGGATCCAACTTTGCCAAGAGAGAGCTGGGGAAATCCAGTCCTCCAGACTACCAGTCACAGCAAGAGGACATTTTTGTTCAGAGATGGTCTGTGGAGTGGCTGCAAAGCCTGAGGAAACCAACTGGGGAGGAGGCCAAGGTGGTCACCTCTCAGAGCTTTGGTACTCTCTCCTTATCGTCGTCCTTCTTTTGGAGACAGGGTTTCTCTGTGTAGCTCTGGTTGACCTGGAACTTACTTTGTAGACCAGGCTTGCCTGGAATTCTGAGGTCCACGAGGCCTGTCTCCCAAAGTGCTGGGATTAAAGGCGAGTGCTACTATTGCCCCATGGGCCTCTCACTTTTTTTTCTCCCTGTCCCTGACTTCCTGGTACTGGAATTGCAGGAGTAGGCAACTACATTGGGGCCAGTCATAGATTCTTTTTTTAAAATTGTTTTTATTGAGCTATACATTTTTCCCACTCCCCTTTCATACTTCCCTCTCTCCTATCCTCTGCCTGCTTTCCATGCTCCTAATTTACTCACAAGACCTTGTCTTTTTCTTCTTCCTAGGTGGATCCATGCACATCTATCTTAGGGTCCTCTTTGTTGTCTAGGTTTTCTGGAGTTGTGGATTGTAGGCTGGTTGTCCTTTGCTCTATCTCTAATATCCACTTATGATTGAGTATTATTATATTTGTTTTTCTGGATCTGGGTTACCTCACTCAGTATGGTTTTTTTCTAGTTCCATACATTTATCTGTAAATTCCAAGATGGCATTTTTTTAACCACTGAGTAGTATTTCATTGTGTAAATGTGCCACATTTTCCTTATCTATTCTTCAGTTAAAGGGCATCTAGGTTATTTCCAGGTTCTACCTATTACAAATAATGCTGCTATGAACATAGTTGAACAAATGGCTTTATGGTGTGATTGAGCATCCTTTGGGTATATGTCCAATAGTGGTATTGCTGGGTCTTGAGGTAGATTGTTTCCTAATTTTCTGAAAAATTGCCATACTGATTTCCAAAGTGACTGTACAAGTTTATACTCCCATCAGCAATGGATGAGTGTTTCCCTTACTCCACATCCTCTCCAGCATAATCCGTCATCAGTATTTTTGATCTTGGTCATCCTGACAGGTGTAAGATGGTATCTCAGAGTTGTTTTTGATTTGCATTTCTCTGATAGCTAAGGATGTTGAACATTTTCTTAAGTGTCTTCCGGCCCTTTGAGATTCGTCTGTTGAGAATTCTCTTTTTAGTCTGTATCTCATTTTGGGACTCTCAGGATATCCCTGCTCAGGATAACCATAGAACTTTTGGTTATCTATCTATCTATCTGTCTGTCTGTCTGTCATCTATCTATCTATTTATGTGTATGTGCACAATATGTGTGCAGTGTCCACAAGGGCCAGAAGAGGGCATCAGATCCCCTGGAACAGGAGTTACAGGTGGTTGTAATATGCCCAGAGTGGGTGCTGGAACCAGCTGTGGTCCTAGGCAAATGCACAAATGCTCCTAACCTACAGCCCAGGACAAACTGCTGTTTAATGAGTCCACCAGGCCGAGTGCTTCAGTCTTCACAAACTTTCAAGGGAAGTTTGTGGCAGGAAAATCAACAACTCGCAGAAGACAAGCGTGTGGTAAAGCCTGGTGGCATTTCACTAGTCCTATCGGCCCACTCCACAGCTATGGTGCAGAGGAAGGGAGAAGGGGCTGACTGCCTGGGCCTACAACTCCTCGCTTAAAGTTACTTAACAGAAGTGAGTTTCATTTCTTTTGTTGAGATAATGGGAGAGCAGAATAAGCTCCAGCGAATTGATTTTTCAGGTGGATTAAATGAAATTGAGTTTGCAATGGGTTTCTGAGCCCGTGGTGAGGGTTTTGGAATGTTTAGCTAAGATTCTTAAACTATATGCAAATTATAAGCAAATGAACTCATGGCCCCCTTGAATTCTGCAGCCAGGAAAATGGTTCTGATAAGACCTAGTCTGGCAGGCGGCAGCAGAAGTAGTGGTGGTGGTGATGGTGGTGGCAACCGAGGTGGCTGTGGCGCAGCAGGCTCCTTTAATCCTTAATCCAAGCACTTAGGTGGCATAGGCAGGAGCATCTCTGTGAGTTCAAGGCCAACCTGGTCTACAAAGTAAATTCCAGGACAGGCTCCATAGCTACACAGAGAAACCCTGTCTGGAAAAACGAAACAAAAACAAACAAACGAACAAAAAAGACCTAGTAAGTGAAAGCTAAAGCGTCACCCCCTATATCAGGACGCTTGGATGCCTCCCAGAATGTTATCAGCATCCCAGTCCCTTGATTGGCATCATACATGAGACGCAGGTGTGCTGATCACCCTTTTCAAGCCGTCAAGTCTCGAGTCACAGGCAGCCCAGCAGTGGGACAATAGCTTGTCTGCTTGTTTTAAATTCCTTCGCCCAGAGCGTTTATGCACCACGTTGTCATAAAGCACAAAGGCAGATGAGCTTCAGGAGAACTGGGGCTGCAGCTGTCTGCATGTATTTGTGCCTGTGCAAGCTAGGAGGCACGGAAGACAGAGCGCGGAGACATTCCGGGGCATGAAGCCTTCATGCCGGGCGTCCTGCCTGCCTGTGCCCTCTGTAATTCTTGGGAATTTGTTCTCAGGATGTCAGCTTCACATGCTCACTCCAACTCCAGTCCTGGACAGTGTCTTCCTGGATCTGGCCAGATCGTGTCTGTTCATGCCTTGTGGATTTGTTGAAATGGCCTCACCCTGGTACCTCCTCTGCAAAAAGCGTACTGGATATGGATTGCAGCTGATCTCCAGGAATCTGCACCCCCCCCCCACCAAGCTCTTGGAGATGATAATAAACACACATCCGCAACCCAGCTGGGCCTGGCTGGTGGCTGTGCCACTGCCTGCTGTTTTCCACCAAGGATTGGGAACAGCTGACTGATTGCTGAGAGCCATGTGCCCCGTGTCCGATCAATGACACCACAGCAGCCTCTGCTGGCTGCCCCCGGAACTACAGGAAGTTTGGC